CGGCGGGGTGAGGCGGCGGCCGGCGGGGCCCGCGCTCACTCGGAGGCCGGGCGGCCGGCGGCAGGACGCGCTCGCGGAGTCGGGCCCGGCGGCGGCCGGCCGCGCGCACCATGCCCTCCTTCGACGAGGCGCTGCAGAGGGCCGGCGAGTTCGGGCGCTTCCAGCGGCGCGTGTTCCTGCTGCTGTGCCTGACGGGCGTCACCTTCGCCTTCCTCTTCGTCGGCGTGGTCTTCCTGGGCAGCCAGCCCGAGCGCTACTGGTGCCGCGGGCCGAGCGCCGCCGCGCTAGCCGAGCGCTGCGGCTGGAGCCCCGAGGAGGAGTGGAACCGCACGGCGCCCCCCGAGCGCCGCGGCGACGGCAGCTGCCGGCGCTACCTCCTGGAGGCGGCCAACGCCAGCGCCGCGGCGGACGCGCTCAGCTGCGCGGACCCGCTCGCCGCCTTCCCCAACCGCTCGGCGCCGCTCGTGCCGTGCCGGGGCGGCTGGCGGTACGCCCAGGCCCACTCCACCATCGTCAGCGAGGTAAGGACGCCGCCCGCCGCGCTCGGGGAAGGGCGGGGGGGAGTGGCCCGCGGGACGGGACGGTGCCCTGCTGCCCCCCGGCGCGTCGAGGGCGGGAGGCCGGCCACCGCGGCCGGGCCGGGGAGGCTGGCACCTGTTGGTGGCCTCTGGGGACCGGCCAGGTGCACCCCACTCTCGGAAGGGCCGCGTCTGAAATGCCTGGAAAATGCCTGTCGTCGATTTCCCTCCGCGAGTGAGTTGACGGAGAGATGCATCTATCCGGGGATAGCTGCTGAGCTCGGAGATTGCTTCTCACTCACCTCCTCGGGCATCGGAGCGTCCGGTACGACGTACGTTATTGCCGGCGGGGATGGGTTTGTGCAAAAGTGGGAAATTATGGTCCGACTCGCGGTGGAGACCCGCGGCTTCTGGGGCGAGCCACTTGGTTGGGCAGGGCCCGATTGCTCTGTGGTCTTCAGGGGGTAAAGGAAGAGCGAACGTCAACTGGTTGCCCAAATGATTATGGGAAATGCACGGGGACAGAGGTCAGGGATCTCCATGGGCATGTTTTTGGTAAAACTGCTTTGGGGCAAAGAGCAACATCTGAGATAAATTGGGAAAGCTGAGGTTTTGAATTAAGAGTTTCAACTTTCTTTCTTTCTTTTTATTTCCTGCTAATAACTTACAGGAAGGCAGCAAAAAGGGCTACAAGTCTTACAAAGCAGATTCCCCCCTTCCCAGGGGTGGCCCCTTGGGCCAGGTGGGGGCAGCCCCCACATTTGCTTGGGTGTGTTTGGACAGGCAGTGCTTTGGGGGTTAGCTGGCCCCTCAGCCTTGGCCGTAGCACTGTTTCCACGCTGGGCTGGGATGGCAGTTTGCATCTTCATCTTTGTGCCTCAGCTGTGGGGACTGCCTCCACGGAGGCTGGGTCACGGGAATGAGCAGTTTCATTGAACTTTGTGGGCAATCAGAGATCAATTTAATTTCTAAAAAAATGATTGAATGTGCTCTGGCAAATTAGGAAAGAAAAATTTTGTCTTTACTTTGGTTATTGTCATAAACGTTTTTTTTTAAGCACCTCCTTGAATAAGGGGGGAAAACACTAGATTTGGAGTTAGCCATGCCTCTTCTGTCACTGTTAATGGTGACCTCATCTCTCTGGTCTTGGGATTCTAGATCTTTGAGGTCATGCATATTCTGTAGTGCCACGTGTGTTTGGTCCTATGCTAATTGCTGTCTAGATAAAATCCATGGCAGCCCAGCCGGGCAATGTGTCTGTTCTGGGTACTTTAACTTCTATTTAATCTGTGGGTAATGATGACGACTGCTTTGTAAACTATGGTGGTCTTGCGTTAGGGATTTCATAGATGAAATGGACAGGGTGTGGACTTCGGTGGGACAGGGCATTAGCCTTAGTACTTCCTTCCAGCAGCAGCTGTTTGATGGCTGCTTGTATTCCATTTAGCACAGCTGCTTAGTGCTTACTTCCCAGGCAAATCAGAAGATGCCACTTGGAGAGAAAACACCTGATTTTTTTGAAGACATTTAGACCTCAAATGAAGAATAAAATGAGACTTCAAAGCAAAATGCACACGCACTGTAATGGTGTTTCTGTGAGCAAATGTGATCGCCGGACATCAGAGAAGGGAGACATAGAAATCTGTGAGTGAGTACCCAGATACTTGAGAAACATTCTGGGGTTCTGGAGTTGTTTCAAGTGACCTGGGGTCATTTCAAGGAGGGACAGATAGTCTTATGAAGGTCAGTGGCTCCCAAAAGGCAATGTAGAAAGTGGAAGGTCAGGAGACCCGGTGTGGTACTATCTGCAGCTAGTGGTGTGGCTTGGGTGAATGGCTTAATCTCCCTGGGCTTAGCTTTCTCATCTGTAAAATTAGAGGTTGGATTAAGCCCTTCACAGTCTTACAGATGCCATCAGTGTTATAGCTGGATGGCTGCTCAGGGTGCCCACAGCAATGATAAAAACATTTCAAGGAAAAGTAGAATGGTATTCAGCATGCACTCCTGAAGGCCACCAACAAATCTTTGAAATATATTGGAGAGATTTTTTTTTTTTTTTTAAATCCAGTTTAGAAGCAGTTCACTTCTTCTGGCTTTTTTGTTATGTTTTAATTCTTAAGAGGGACCCCCTCCCCCATCTCTCCAGGAAGTCCAGCCATTCAGGGCAACTCATTCTCAGAGTTCTGCCTGGCTAATATTTTGCTGCCTTTGGTTTTGAAGATGATCCATTTAATTTTTGTTTTTTCATATTCTGTCAGGATTAAAGGAACTTTACTTCTATCTTTGGTTAACACTGTACCCAATGTGTTTTTACAGACTTAAAGTTGAAGATATTAATCATGGAAAGGGGGTGAATTGTGAGAGTTTCGAAGGTGGAAGGGCAGACCCGATTCCAGAATGTCTCCATTTGGCTATTATGCTTCCTCCTTGCACCAGTGAGGGGAGATATCATTGTCCTAGCTTTGTAGAAGAGGTTCCTGAGTCAGGAGATGTGGAAGGACCTGCCAGAGTCCCAGACTTTTTAAGTGGCCCAGTTGGGTTGAGATCCAAGGGTCATGAGTATAAATCATTCTCCGTTCCTCTGTGTAGTGATCAAAGTCTTGGGGACAAGCCCACGCAACATAACCCCTCACACTTTAGAGCAGGAAATCCTGAGGAACCTTCAAGTTTACTTCATTCTTCTGGCCAGCCTGCCATTGTATTTCATTTCATGGCATCAGGAACACAGTCAGCCATAATCAGCCAGGCCAGCCAATGGAAATGGCTCTCTCGTCTTGACGTGAACATTGTAGAATGAGCACTTGAGGCTCACCCACTGTCCTTCCATCTTACAAAGCAAAACAGCTCCAAGGAGTGAAGTCAGAGTCAATGCCAAGTGCAGGGCTGTTTCAATCCAGCCCCCTCACTCTTTCTTTTGCTCAAGGTGAGGCAGTAGATTTTTCTCCTACACGTAACTTCCTCAGGGCAGACTTTCTAATGTCTGCATCTCAGCCTTGTCTGCTTTTCAGATGCTGGCTAGAATAAAGCATGACAGAATGCAGAAAAGTCTGAGCCTCCACCACCCACATATTTCAATTCATTGCCTAGGGAGTGAGTCTTTGAAATGGATGTTAGGACTTCTAAATGTTTGCTTGTATGCCATAAAAATAAAAAAGAAGAAGAGGAAAGAAGGAAGGAAAGAAAAAGAGCTTCTCTCTAGTGTCTCAGTGAACCAGACTTCAGAGCACCTTTTCAAAATAGTCCGAATCACTCCTGTTTCTCCTTTCCAGGTCATTTTTTCCCCACAATGAAAGCAAAGCCCATTTAAGGGAAGTAGGGGCCGCACTGAAGAGAGTGGTGGTGGCTTTGCTTTGTGGGGTTCACGTGTTTCTGCTCTGCCTCTCACACATCAATCCCACAACACAGGGCCAACCCAGTAGGTCAATCCACAGACATTAGTGCTGCCAGCATCCTGTCCTCGCTGACTATCAAGCATGGAATTGCGCTGGTGTGGAAACTGCAGAAAGTCTCTCCAGGCCCACATTTTAGTCTGGGCTCAATCTCTGATGTGCTCGGGGCACTTTAGAAAGATCTTGCTTCTGCCCAGTTTTTTGTTGTTTTATTTTTTAAAGATTTTATTTATTTGAGAGAGAGAGAATGAGAGACAGAGAGCATGAGAGGGAAGAGGGTCAGAGGGAGAAGAAGACCCCCCCGCTGAGCAGGGAGCCCGATGTGGGACTCGATCCCGGGACTCCAGGATCATGACCTGAGCCGAAGGCAGTCGCTTAACCAACTGAGCCACCCAGGCGCCCTGCCCGGTTTTTATTCCTAATATTTGGGCCTCCCTTGTTTCTCGCTGAATCAACCTCACCAGGAGGACATCTGCTTTATTATTACTTCAAAGACCCAAATAGGTCACTGTTCATTTTTATTTCATTAATTTCTCCTCTTTATTATTTGTTCTTGTTTCCTGGATTGACTTGGTATGCTTCTTTCGATGGAAGTTCGATGCATAGCTCAGTTATTTTCAGCCTTTCTTCTTTCCTAGCATAAATATCGAAAGCTATAGATTTCCTTCTATGTACTTTTTTTGACTGTACCTGACAAGTTTTGAAATGCAGGTTTTAATTATTATTCCGTTCTCAATATTTGTGATTTCCATTATTATTTCGTTTTTGGCCCATGATGTTTTTATCTTTTTAATTGTTGACTTCTCATTTAACCTTGGTATCGTCAGAGAACATGGTCTGTGTGATACTGCTTCTTTGGATTTCATTAAAGTTTGCTTTTTGGCCTTTAAGAGGTCAATTTTCATAAATGTTCTGTACGTGCTCTAGAAGAATGTGCAGTCTTTAGCTATTGGGGGCAGGGTTTGTAGATGTCTCATATTTGAAGCTTGTCACTTATGCTGTTAAAATATTCTAGATTTTAATTAACTTTCCGTTTGCTTGGTCTGTCAAGATTAATTAACAAGTATTGAAATTTGCCATTATATTGTTGGGTTTGTCCGTTCCTCCCTATATTTCCAGCAGACTTAAAAATTTACGTACATGGGCAATTTTATCGGATGCGTGTATCTACAAATTAGATTTTGCTTGTAACCTTCACATTGAATTGAAAATTTTATTAGTGTGTAGAGACCCTATCTAAAATCCATGATGTATATTGGCTAGTGTCTATTTTGTCTCATACTAATGTAGCTACTCCAGCTTTCTTTTAGTATCTTTTGTTACTTGTTACTTTCAAACTTCACATGTTCTAAGAGTTTAGATGTATCTCTTATAAAATGTATAAAACTTGATTTTGTTTTTAGCTGGTAGGCGTAGACTCTTTACATTTATTGTATTCATTGGTATATTTGAGCTTGTTATACCATATTATTTTTCTTTGTCCTGTTCTTTCTATGCTTTTTTCTCTCCCTTTAAAAAATGATTTTTTATTTTGTTTTTCATATTCTATTTTTTTCCTTCCTTTATTTGTTTGGAGTTTAGATCCTTTATTTCAATTCTTTTAGTGGTTACCCT